GTTATGTTTTCCAGGCCCTCCTCTGACTTATCCTTTTATTTTCTCCTAGGAGCTGTTACGTCTCTGACTCATTTGCTATTTCATCTAGGGTTTGAGAGTAACGAAATTTCTATTCTCTGTATGTCCTGTACATGTGGCAGAATTGACAAATAAAGTTGACTTTGACTTTGACTTTAAGGTCCTGTGACCTGTGCTCGCCTGATGATTGTTGGTTTTCAACACAGACAGCAGAGGGCGCCAATGAAGCGCAGACAAATGTGAGTGCCTGATACACAAACACCATCACATTTAAACTGCTTATAAACAGCAGAAACTGTCTGCTATGGAAACACCTCTTTATCAGATCACACATCACAAGTGTGTTGACTTTCATTTCTGGCTTACTGCCAGCAGTGTCAACTCACTTCCTCTTTCCGAGGAATGTCAGCAGACCAAAACCCACAGAGCACTTCTCGAAATACTTTCAGATGACTCATCCCACACTTACTATACACATACATGCCTTTACCAGCAATGAGAGGGCGGGTAGCGCTGTAGTCTCTGTGCGTGTATATATGTGTCATCGTGGTAAAAAGTATTACAACTAAAACATGGCCACGTGCTTCTTTGTCTCTATGAGTGACTCCGTGGCAACAGTACGAGGCGCAGTCACCAAACTTTAAGTGTGGATTTTAGAATTAAGGTTATGATTACGAACTAATCCTAATTAAGTTCTAAATGAACATGTTGGCATGGCAGTTGATAGGTGTCACGGGATCCTTATTGAAATATTGGATTCCTAATCCCTAATCCAATCCCTTTTCATATCACCTACCACCTAACCGTAATCCTTACTCTTAGCCTAACCCCCTAATCTTAATTCTGCCTTTAACCTTTAAGGGAAGTTTTAATGTTGAAAGAGTGATTTGAGGAAAGGAGGTGCAGACAAAAATATCATCACTTCCTCAAATGCCCTTTAAACCTTGTAAGGTTCCTCACAGGACCACATGGACAAATCAAATCATAGATTTCCGAATGTCTGCGTCTGGTAGCAAAAAGATTCCACTGAGCTTGAACTGCTCCATGTAAAAGTATAAAAAAGTGCACAAAAATTTAAAGGTAAAGCATGACTCTCTCATTCAGTACAGTCACTGTAAAGCAGCTGTGGCGTGTGGTGGTATTATAAGTTTCAGAAGTGTGCAAAATACAGTTCCCTCTGCTCTACTTCATACGGGAAGACTTTCAGAAAGTTTGCATGTGGTTTCCTGTGATAGACAGTGAGGCACGGTGAACAAATGTGTCGTCCCATTTTATGGAAGTAAATCTGTCCTAATCTGCACCCCGTGACCTCAGTAATGAGCTCAGCTGCTCGGGGATCCTCTGTGGGCATTGTCAGCTGAAGACCAGTACAATGAGTCTCTAAGTCAGAAGGGGCAGAATTTAAAGCCCGAGTGAAACACCGAAGTGTAGCAGGAAAACACCAAAACAGTAGAAAATACTATATATGATGCAAGTTGGTTTTAAATGAACTCAGACTAAGTTTCTGCTGTATGTGTCACAGTTTCTTTTCTCGCTTCCTACGACAAGGCAGAGGTGTTAAAAAAAAGGAAATGAGCCAACAAAAATGCACTGGGGTCAGACGAGTGTTGAATCTTGAGGAGAAGCTGACATGAAAAAACATCCAGTACATGAAGCAAAAACAGAGTTTGTAAAAATTCTAACAAGCCTGACAGTCAGTATTTAGTATGACCACCTTTATTCTTCAACACAGCCTGAGGTCTCTTAGGCAGCTTTCTTTTAATTAGTCTTTAGGAATAGTTCTCCAGGCTCATGAACAACAACAACAACAATCTTTATTTGAATGAAAGGACATTCAAAGCTCTTCTTTGGATGCTGGCTGCCTTTTGTGCTTTTTTCTGTCAAGATGAAAAAACACGGTTTCAGTTGTTTTATGGTCCAATCCAACGGCATTTTTCTGTGTTCATAATTCCCTTGATTTTGACAAGATTCCCAAATCACTGGGGGGCTGGAGCCTATCTTGGTGTCTTAGGGAGAGATATGTCAGAGAGAACATGGAAACTCTACAAACACAGACCCGGCCTGATGGTGGAACTTGAACTAAGGATCTTCTTGTTGTGTGGCAACAGTGCTAACCACCGTGCTGACATTCCTCAGCAAATGGTCAGGTACAAGGACTGGACTGAAAAAGTGTAAAAGCAGTCAGTGGCCAACAAAAGCTGTTGAACAGGCCTCAGAACTTCTGGAGAAATGTTGCTTAAGACCACTTTAAACCATTACAAGGAAGTTCGGCTCCTTGGAAGCTTAATATGGAGAAATGAGTGGTGGCTCAAGACTTTTGCACAGTACTGTTTTCAGTTGTAACTGCAATTTATTGACGTGTTTAATGATTTACCCACATGTGGTTTGTGTGTGTATTCAGCTGTGTTGGTCCTGCTCACAAATGGCAGGAGCTAAAGTGTGAGGCTCCGTCACACGCAGTGTAGCTGTCACGCTACCAACTGTTTCCCCACTTCACAGTTAACATCCCATTTTTAATTTTGATGTCAATGTAAAAAATATGGTAAAATAAGAGAGTTACATAAAACATTTCTGCAGAGTGTAGATCAGTGAGCTTTAAGATAATAAGATAAGATTAGTCTTTAGTGTGGGCCGTAAAATCAGACTACTTTTGAATTAAGAATTTGTAAATGTACAATAATAAAACAATGTGGCAACATTTTGTTTTCAAGCCAAGCAAAACTATATAATCTTAAGGTATAGATTTTACTTTTGGTTATGTTACATGAATTTACAAAGTCCCTGGATACGGTGGCCCTGAGAGGTCAAATGCACTGCAACTTAAGAAAACACCAGCAAGTAGAAAAACATGAAAAACACAACAGAAGTTAAATAAGAAACAACAAAAGTAGGGTAAAAGGCCATAAAACACAATAAAAGTGTTTTTGGAGACACAAAATTTAATGGATCAGCTACACAGATACACAAAACATGTGGAGGACTGCACAGAGACACACTTTTTAAAAAAAGCAGAGGATTAGTCTGTCTTGTGAGGTAATGCAGATGTTGTTTTTATTACCACTTTGGTTCATTCTGTATTTTTCTGTTTGTCAGTGTTTTCCTAGGTTGCAGTGCATTTGTCCTCTTAGG